GAACCAACAGCTTCACCTGAACCAAGAGCTTCACATGAACCAACAACTTCACCCGAACCAACAGCTTCACCTGAACCAACAACTTCACCTGAACCCACAACTTCACTTGAACCAAGAGCTTCACCTGAACCAAGAGCTTCACATGAACCTACAACTTTACTTGAACCAACAGCTTCACCTGAGCCAAGAGCTTCACCTGAACCAAGAGCTTCACCTGAACCAAGAGCTTCACATGAACCTACAACTTCAGCTGAATCAAAAAAAATGGGACCAACACATTATTCTGTGCTTCCTGAACCAGTAATTGATTCACATCCTGTTGTTCCCCCTGTCACACAGCGTAAAAAAGAGCACAAATTAGATACACACTGGAGAAGGCGCAAGTGCTTCAGAGGATAAGTGGAGTAATAAATGTAACAATAAAAGTAATACTTAAGTAATAATTATTTGTAATAAGTTACAGAAAAGGAATACAATTGTCTGTAAACAAATGTCTTAGAAATGGGAAAATGAAAATTCCGCATATTATAGTGTCAGTGATGAATTAAACTATCCTTGTTTACTTTACGGTACAGTAGACAGAATTTAAGAGAAAATTTAAACATTTTGTAAATAATCAGACATGTGGTCATATAATTACCACTGTACTTTAGATTTAAGGGTAGTTAAGTTGCTTTCACAGTTCAGGTGCATAATTTTTTCACAGTTACTTATGTTATCAACAGGACTCAGGATGTTCACAAGTGATCTTTAACATGGTAAAATATAAGTTTGCTGTCATACTTGACCTTTCCTAGCAAGGCTAACAAGTGAGGTAATAGCTTTTAAAAGTTAGAAATATTATTAAATATTAACCCATAAAATATAGAAAAAAATATACCATCCATATTTAATTACAGAATATTAAAGCCCAATTACAGCAAATGGAAACTTTACCACAAATCCATGTGAAATTTAACAAGAAGCTTTTGAGAGGGAAATAGACCAATTATTATTGGAGAATTTCACATTTATTACCAGTAGTTAGTTTAATGATCAACATTTGATAATAAAACTCTTAAAATTTTCAAAATCTACTAGTTAAATAATCCTAAATAATAGGAATAGAAGCTTTACTCTGTTTTATGTCATTTTAACTAATATGACGAGTATTAAATTCACCATTTAATGGATCTTAATATGAGGAATATAAGCTTTTCTATGTGTCTATATTTAACGCCAAACAGCATTAGAATGGTCTAAATAAATAATATCAATATAAGAAAATGTCTCAAATGTTAAACAGTCAGCAGGAGTGATGAAGCTTCAAAACATTTGCTTAAAAGAATGGAGCTAAACTCATTATATTATATTATCCCAGCTCAGGACAGATGGTCAGCCTGACGCAGGGCTGGGATAATATAATATAATA